GTTCGACCTCCTGTTCCTCAGTGGTCTTTGCAGTTGGTTCTTCGCGCCCTCACGCGACCACCCTTTGAACCCATGGCGCACTGTGACTTGAAGCTTCTGGCACTTAAAACCCTTTTTCTAGTGGCTATTACCTCTGCGCGGCGTGCTAGTGAACTGGCTGCTCTCAGAGTGGACCAGCCCTTTCTACAGTTTTTCAGGGAGAAGGTGGTCCTCCATACCGATGTCTCCTTTCTTCCCAAGGTGGTGTCCCAATTCCACCTCAATCAACCTATTATTCTACCGACGTTGTTCCCGAATCCTTCTAATGACACGGAGCGCATGCTCCATACTCTGGACGTTCGGCGGGCACTTGCCTTTTATGTCTTCAGATCTAAGGAGTACCGTTTATCTAACAGACTCTTTTTGTGCTACTTTGGTTGTAAGAAAGGGGTACCAGCGTCACCATCGACCCTATCGAGATGGCTTGTGTCTACGATCTCACTAGCCTATGAGCTCCTGCATAAAGACCCTCCTGAAGGACTCAGAGCCCATTCCACCAGGGCAGTTGCCTCATCTACAGCTCTCTTACGTGGCATTGATGTACCCGATATCTGTAGAACAGCCACATGGTCTAACATCTCTACGTTCGTCGACCACTACAGACTGGATGTGAGAGCTAAGAAGGAGGCTTCCTTCGGGAGAGCGGTGCTGACATCAGTTCTTCAGTGACGTCCCTCCATCCGGTGAGTCAGCTAGCTAGTCACCCTTTTGTGTGCATTCACAGAAGACCACGATGAAGAAAGTGGGGTTACTTACCTGTAACCATGGTTCTTCAAGTGGTCATTCTGTGAATTCACACAATCCCACCCTGCCTCCCCACTGTCCGTCACTGATTTTATGATTCTCTTGTTCAGCTTCATGGCTGCTTCTGGTGGCGGATAAATGGAACTGAGGCTGGGTGGGAGGGGCATGCGCAGGGGACCTTAGAACATTCCGAGAGGATCATCGCTGGCGCTGATTTAACCCTTTTGTGTGAATTCACAGAATGACCACTCGAAGAACCATGGTTACAGGTAAGTAACCCCACTTTTTCAACTACACTTTTTTTGAACTCTTTAAACATAGCAAGGGGAAGACTTTCATGAACGCACTGCCCCTGATTGTTAGGAACCACAGGACAAACAGACATAACAGGGAGGGTGGCAGCAACGTCCTCTGGGCTTCCTTGGGCCATGACATCAGATAACATCTGCTGCACTGCTGAATGAATAGGGGAGAAGTGAGGAGGAGGAGAAAGGGGAGACAGGACTGTTGGAAGAGTGATGACAGCTGTGTAAGAAGGATTGCTTCTATTTTCATGGAGATCTGATGGCTTAAAGGGTGGCAAAATCTGAGAGGCTGTTGGAAGGTTAGCTAAAGACTGGGCTAACAAAGGGTTTGCGATCTTTGAAATCGCGTCCCTGCAAAGATGCCATGTATGAAGGAGTTTAACTGGAGCAACAGGGTCTTTGTGCAGTTTATTCCCAATTTTATCCCAATCTGAAAGCTTAAGGCTGCCCTCTTCTGGATACCAAGGACATTAAGTACCTATTTCTGTCAATAAATCCTCTACTGAGGCATATACACTATGGCGGCCTTCTTTATGGAGCAAGTAAATCAGGTCCTTTTGATGTTGAATTTGAAGAGCTGTAAAAATGTTTCCCATCTTGAACTAATACTCACCGGGATCCAAAGGAGGATGTGAGGATGCGTCTGAAGCCCTTGCCGGGTGGGGTGAGCTCCTTTGATTGCCTCAGGCAATGTCACTTTGATGGAAAGACCAGCGAACAACACCCATCAATCACAGTGGCAGATCATCTCTCCCTCTTATCACAACAATACACCCATAACTAAAAAACACGCTGATCACCATAATCACCCAATCTCCTGAAAAGGACAAAAGCTGATCCCACAGCTATAAATACTCATCTATCCAACAAACTGCACCAGAGCACAGACAGAGTTCTGACTCCTGTCCTCTGAAGATGCTGGCCACAGAGACTGGCAAAATGTTAGGAAGAAAATCCTTCGGAACATGTGGAAAAGCAGGCAAGCTTGGGCAATTTTTGAGAGAATTGACCCCCAGCTTCCCTGAGCTTTCTTGAATGTTCAAGCGACCATGTGCCTTTTTGGGAGCACATACTTGTGCAAAAAGCTCTTCTCCACCTTGAACTTCAGTAAGTCCAAGTCCAAGTCCAGACTTACTGATGATCATCTTCAAGCCATACTGAGGATCTCAACTGCTTCCTCCTTCAAGCCAAATGTGGCTCGACTATGCAAGAGGAAGGACTGCCAGGTCTCTAGCATCAAGGAGTTGGCAAGAGAAACCATGTTCAGAAGAACAATTCATATTCTTCAATGTTCCATTCATGTTCAAGCGATTCATGTTTAGAAGAAGACTAAAGGTTAAACAATTATTAATACAGACATTTGAATTTGAATACAGATGATATAGAAGACTGAAGAAATCACATATATTTGCTCACTAGAGAATTATTATTATTATTATTATTATTATTATTATTATTATTATTATTATTATTATTATTATTATTATTATTATTATTATTATTATTATTATTATTAGTATTAGTATTAGTATTA